CCTATAGTCCCAGCTACTTGGGAGGCGGAGGCAGGAGACTCACTTGAGCCCAGGAGTTAGAGGTTGCTGTGAGCTGTGATGCCACGACACTCTAAGAGCTTGAGGCTCTGTCTCAAAAAAAACACCTTCTTTGTTTTGAGCAGTATATGTGCTGTATCTAAATAGTCTCTCTGAAGCTACTGGCTATTGTATAGTGACCACTGCACAAGTCAATTCTTTATTTTGGGGGTGTCGTGTCTACAGACTAGCACACCATTCTTTAGGGAAAATTGTTATTTTTATCTTGTTTATTATATAGAGTTATACTTAGATAAACACGTTGATTTGCAATATTATCTGAATCAGTATGATGCAAAGTAATATTAAGTAGCATTCCACTGTATTTCTAGATTTCTGGATCCTAAGGATTTGTTCATGGAGGAACATTTGTTCAAGTGGGAAAGGGGGTTGGGTAGTACTGACCAATGCAATAAAGACCATTCTCAGGAATTGAGAGAGAGCCATCTCTGAGCAAAGCTGTAGGGGGTGAAGATATTAATGAACAGAGAATTGTCTTTGTTAAGAGATGGGGAAATTGACAAAAGCAGTAAAGGCAGTTTCAAGCTAATAGGATCATACCAGGGGTCTTAACATTCAAGGGAAGACTGAAAAGAACAAGCTAAAAAACTTTTTTTAGACCCAGACTTTCTAAAGACAAAGACATACTGAAATTGCTTTTACCTGGGCTGTGTCTAACCCACAGAGGCAGGAGATTGAAAATTATTAGGCGTGGGGATAAGAACCCTGACAATGACTTGTATGTGTCTCCCCCTCTCGAGATAGTTGTCAGAGGAGATTTGGGCTTCAGAGATGTTGGGACTGCCAACAGACCTCCACCCAGCAACATCCAGTATGCTTAAAGCACCCGATCAATCTGTCCTATGGAAGGGGAACCTTCTAAGCACCTAATCCTGGAAAAATATCAATAAAGCATAGCCTTAATTTAATCAGGATCTGTTAGTCAGCTGCTGTTGATTTTTTCAGATGTTAGTAAAATTAATATGCATGTATCGTGTTCCATCGAGGCTCAAAATGAAAAGTGATTGAAGCTTTATTTCACAAATGGTACCTAGTCACAATTTTATGCTCATGAAGCAATTGATTGAAAACTCTTTAAGGGTGTCCCTTGCCTTAGATTATGAAAAATCTAACTTTATAGCCTTTGTCACTGTGTTTGTGTCGTCATTACCCAGAATCAAACTTAGGTTCATTCTGACATCTATCTTATCTAAGTAGATCTTAAGTTATATTTTTGCAAAATTATCCCAACTTACAGCTTCTGAATTACGTTTCACTCCTGAAATTTTTTGTGAGTAGAGTTCTGGCAAAATAGTTGTTAGAAAATATCTCTTTTAGACCCTGGTTCTTTCCTAGCCTTCCCGTTTGGAATATGGCAGGGCAGGAAGTAACTCCGTCTCATAAACCTGGATGTGAAGGCAGATATTCAAAATAAAAACCTCATTCTTCTTTCTTCAAGCTGGCTGTGCTTGTACATAAGACCCTGCTCTTCTTCACTGGCCTTGTTGGGGTCTTTGGAAATATGTGAGGCATTTTTACCAAGCAGATATTCAAGTGGATGTGTGTACCTATGGAGGGAATCAGATCATTTGGTTTCTATCGTGGCTGTGTGTGACTCTGATTTTCAGAGATCCAAGTGATGTGATCCATTTTCCTTTGAGACCAAACCTGGTTGGAGGGATGTAACATAGAAGCATCAGGAATTTCCACTGTTCTTTGTGCCATCAGACAACATTCTTATGTCACATTGTACTGAAAAGTGCACATGTTTTGGAACAGATTGGTTTAAATTCCATTTTTCTGACCTATTATGTATATGACTTGAAGCAAATTTTGTACTTCTCTAAACAAACTTCCCTATCTTTTATAATAGCAACTTTATAGGCTATCATAATTAGATTCTATTCTCACGTGATGTTAATGATAGTAACTTCTACATTATCGTTATCATTGTTGTTATTCCTTATTGAACCAGGAGAGAACTTAATTACACCCAGCCAGATTTCATGAGACAAGTGAGAAAATGAATGAAATTTTATTCAGCCCTGAGCATTTTCCATATATTATCTCTATAAATCCACAGAAAATCCTGAGACGTAGACAAGACTATCTCCAATGGATAAATCAGGACACTGAGTCCTAGAGTAGACAGTTTATCACGTTGACTAGATCATGTAGGTACAGACTGAATATCCTTTATCTGAAATGCTTGGAACTAGAAGTATTTCAGATTTTGGATGTTTTCTAATTTTGGAATATTTTCAAAATATTGCATAACCAGTTAAGCCTCCTAATCTAAAAATCCAAAATCTAAAACCCTCCAGTGAACATTTCCTTTGAGTGTTATGTCAGCACCTCGAAAGTTTTGGATTCTGGAATGTTTTGGGTTTCACATTAAGGATGGGCAACCAGTAGCAACCGAACTGAGCTGAGGATTCAGGTCCCAGACTTTCTGCCCAGTGATGTTCTAGTATACCAATGCTTTTTGATACTTTCCCCACCCATGTTATACCTTAAGACAGAGCAGAGCGGGGCTCATGGAGGGTTAACCAAACTGGATGACCACAAGCTTGATACTTCTTTAGCGCCTCAGGCTTTTCTTTAAAATGAATGTAAATTTTGCATCTCACACGTTTCCAGGTCTAGAGATAAAAGTTTCCCACCTGCACTGTCAGTAGAGTTGATGATCCAGATTTGTCCTTTGGTTTTACAAACACTAGTTTGAGGCACTCAGGGACACACCTCTGCCACTTTCTAAGATTCCAGATTCCTTTATCTGCCGTTTTGATTTCTGTTGATCTTATTTTTTCTTTAGCATGAATGTGTGAAGGGTTGCTCTGTGAAATGAGAACCAGCATTAACATGGTCATTCTGTTTCAGATCTCCATTCCTGTTTTCTCGGTAACCCTAATAAAGAAAACCAAAACTGCTCTTCTGGTGCCAAATGCCCTGATTATAGCGACAGTGACAGACAGGGTGAGTATGCAGCAGAGTGAGGGCCACCTTGCCTGGTCCTCTGGCTCTGGACCCTGTTGCCATACAGTCCTTTCAGCAAGGATCTCTTCACTCAAACTGTGAATGTCATTATCCCCCATAGTCAGGTGATATTCTGTAAGACTAATTTTAAAAATTATAGCCTGTAGAAGTTTATGTACTGTTATTTTTCTTACAATACTTGCCTGACCACGGTCAAAAAAATAAAATTCTTTCCCAATTTCCTTTTCCCTAATATCTGTCAAGTCAGGCTAACCTGACATATTCCGTCTTTTTAATATTATTTTAAAAACTAAAGGCCAGGCACGGTGGCTTATGCCCGTAATCCTAGCACTCTGGGAGTGCTTGAGGTCAGGAGTTTGACCAGACTGAGCAATATAGTGAGACCCCATCTCTATAGGAAAATGGAGAAATCATCCAAGCGGGATGACACATGCCGGTGATCCCAGCTACTTGGGAGGCCAAGATAGGAGGATCACCTGAGCCCCAGAGTTGAGGGCTGCAGTGAGCTATGATGACACCACTGCACTCCAGCCCAGTGACAGAATGAGACCCTATCTCAGAAAAACAAAACACGGCTCAGCGCCTGTGGCTCAAGCGGCTAAGGCGCTAGCCACATACACCTAAGGTGGCGGGTTCAAATCCCCAGCCCGGGCCCGCCAAACAACAATGATGGCTGCAACCAAAAGATGGCCGGGCGTTGTGG